AAAACATAGTAACATAATTTAGCTCATTTTCTCCACACTTGGGGGCTTTCTTCTAACACTTAGGGAGAAAACGATAAATGTAAATGTTAAATCTATATGTAGATATATCTGTTTAAATCTTATATCTATAAACAGATGATGTATTTTTTCTGTAAATCTTAAATCTATGTGTAAATATCCAAATAGATCTTAAATCCACACCCCAGTTGAGGGGGTGGGGGTGGCTGGGTCAGATGAGAGGCCTCCTCCTATTGGTTCCAGTGGGTTGGGGGCGTGGCCACACGGTCAGTATATCTTCTAAAGATTTAAATCTGACATCTAGGATTTAGACTCAGAGGAAAATATAGATGTATATATAAAAGATGTAGCTATAAGTTATAGAATCAACAGTAGGATTTTTCAGTTTGGATCTTGTGTAGCCAGGAAGGGGTGGTGCGTTCAGGGACACCTCTGCCTGTCAGCCAATAGGAGGCCGGCATTGAACGTGCGTTTTTACGCCACAGGTCGCGGCGGACTTTTGGACCCTGATTCTTCCCTCTGTCTGCTCCTGGCGCGCGCACAGAAAATGGCTCTTCGTGTTTTAGAAATCATCTTTTTCTTTTATTTTGCATCTCATATTCCCATAACCCTGTTGATTGACCTGCAGGCCCTGCTGCCCGGACATGTTTACCCCCAGCCGGTAAGTCCCCCCCCCTCCCTCTGTGTGGCCCCAGGGCCCCTCCAGCTCCCTGAGTTTTCATCCAGTTCTCCCATCAGCTGAGGGACCTTCTGAGCTGGTATGCTGAGGAGTTCAAGGACCCCATGGTGCTGGACCCCCCCCACTGGTTCAAGTCCTTCGTGTTCTGTGAGGCTGTGCTGCAGATGCCTTTCTTTCCCATCGCAGCTTATGCTTTCCTGAAAGGTGAGTGCTGAATGCATGGGAAGGACTTTCACCAAAGGAACCTTTAAATGAGAGAAAGTCTGACAGTAACACCTGGTGTTCAGCTGCAGGTTTAGATTAGATCAGATTATAATCTGGAAGGGGTGTCCTCTGCTACTTGAGAGCAGAGGTGTTAAAGTATTCATGTTTATTCCTCCAGTTTAAATCCTGCTGTTTGAGAACATTTTATAGAAGTTAGAGGATAAAACAAAAAAGTCGCATTTTTAAAAATGCTTAAAGAGTAAAAGTAAAAGTAAAAACTGTTAAGTCCAGAAGCTTTACTGCTCTACTTAGAGGAACATTTTCTGCAATGCTGGATGATAACTTCCTTAGACTTCCACCATTTTGGTTTGTGGTTAGCAACAAGTTGGGGCAGCACCGAGACCAAACACAAAGAAATTGTCTGGATGAAACTAATAATTGTACTGAAATATCAACAGGCCATAATGAAAATGAGCTTATATGAAACAAGAATAAAACAAGTGTATTTTTAAACTGTAAGGAGTAGAAAGTAAAAAGTTAAGTATAGAAAGTCAACATGTCTGCTTCAGTAAAGTCTTTGTACTTTGTTAGCTGACGTCTCTGAGCGTGTGGCGCTGCTGCCATTAGGGATAAAAATGTTATCGGTAGATTGATAAGGTTTAAATCAGGGCCGGTCCGCCCCTCCCATAGAAATGGAGTTAGTTGACCTTCAGTTCGTGGTCAGATGATCGGATCACTTCTTCACCGCAGCTCCAGCTTCTGCAGGCAACATCTGGCTTTACTGGAAGAACATTCAGCTGATCTATGGGAAGGTTTCTGTGCTTCATACTTTTGGTTCAGCAATGTTCAAATTTAACCTGTGGCAAGAACAACAAACACATTACAGTTTAGATCCATAAAAATGAAAGTAAACCAACGAACCAGACAAAAATCACATCAACAGGAAAATATTAAACTGAATCTTTGGTCTAAATATAGGTTTGTTAAACTGATCCTTCCTCGTCTGTCGGTCTGGCTCCAAGTTTAATAATCTAAGTAATGATTTCTACATCCT